AAAAAAAAAAAAAAAAGCCACAAACACCAGCTTGGGCTGTCTAGGGCCAGACCCTCCTGCGACCCCGGAGATCCAGGGTCTTCTCCCTGCCTGGGGCCCCGGGAGCGGGGAAGGAGCTGCCCAGACCTCCGCCCTGAGCGTGTTGATCCCTCAATGCCCTCCCACCCCATGTTCTTATCAGGATGACAGGGGAAGCTGCCAAGAGGGAGACGGGGAGCCCAGCTCTGGCCCTTTCAGGACAGAACCTCAAAGGTCACTGGCCTCTCCAGCTCATCCGTAAGCCAGGGTAACAGCTCTTACACTGTGGGACGCCATGGGGCACCCTTGGGCAGTTACTCTCAGCCGTTTGTGTCCTGGGAGAGCAGGGGACTTGCTGGCGGTGCAGGGAGCTCTTCCGCACCTGGGCAAACCCTCGGCCCCCTGAGTGGCCGCACAAGGGCTGAGCATGACAGGATGGAGGGATGATGGATGGCCTCTCTCCCTTGCTCTGTTGTGTCTTAGCTGCTGGAGCTGGTAAATGTGTGTGGCTCAGCCCCAGGCTTGGCACCGGGTGCTCCTCTCTCACCATAGGGATGAGATCACCACGCAGGAACCCCACCCATATTTGCACGTGCCCAGGACACGTGGCGTGTGAGTGACTGCAGCAGCCTGGACCTGCGCTGCAGCATTGGGCCTGGTGGGCCAGGCAGGGCAGGATGGGCACCCAGAGTGGGAGCTGCACAGAACGTCAGGAGGGCAGAAAGACCACGTCCTGGGCCTGGGTCTGTCCCCCTCACCTGAGACCTGTGCACCTTCCACCTGAGCACATGCCCGTCCATCCAGCTGGGCTCTGAGCCCCAGGCACTCGGCCTCCCTCCTCCCCTGGCCCTGTCTCAGGCCCCTGCTGTGGGGAGCCCAGGGTGAGTTATCTCCCGGCTGAGACTGGTCCCACGGGTGCCCTCTGGTCCCAGCCCCTAACTGCTGCCACACCCCTCAGCATCCCGGTATACAAGGAGGGGGCCTGGGGGTAGTGCAACCTTCTGGGAGCCAGGGGTCACCTGGGCCTTGTGCAGCCCTTAATTCTCCTGGGCAGAGCAGGCTGGGCCCTGGTCACCGGTCTTCCAGGGCGTGTGGCCTCCTGCCTGTTTGCAGGGGTTTATTATTTATTATTTATTTTTTTGAGACGAAGTCTTGCTCTGTTGCCCAGCCTGGAGTGCAATGGCGCGATCTCAGCTCCGTGCAACCTCCACCTCCCAGATTCAAGCGATTCTCCTGACTCAGCCTCCCAAGTAGCTGGGATTACAGGCGCCTGGCACCATACCCGGCTAATTTTTGTATTTTTAGTAGAGACCGGATTTCACCATGTTGCCCAGGCTGGTCTGGAGCTCCTGATTTCAGGTGATCCGCCCGCCTCAGCCTCCAAAAGTGCTGGGATTACAGGCGTGAGCCACCTCGCCCGGCCTGCTGGGGTTTATTTGCCTACCTCTGGCAGGGGGAGGGTAGGAAGGGTTCCAGTCCCAACAGCCTGGGCCGTGGGACAGGGAGGGGCAGTGGTGGCCCCTGGAGCCCTACTAGGGGTGGTAGATGTGGTCTTGGTCTTCCTCCGGTCCCCGGAGCACCTGGCGATTTGGCATCACCCACAACCGAGGCCCCTCCTCGCCCTGGTCCTCCTCGGGCGGAGGGTGGTGCAGGCTGTCATGGTCGGGCTCAGGACCCTGCTGGGGGCTTAGGACATGGCCCAGGATGTCCTCGGTCTCCACCGAGGCCTTAATGCCTAGGGACAAGCAGATGAAGGGATAGCCTCAGTTTCTCTCCCGAGACCCTTGGTCTGTCCAAGCCAACCCCACGAGCAGGCTTTGCTGCTGTGGCCTCGTGCCCACCTGGAAGGACGGGGCCCCTGCCCTGACCTGGTGACTTCTCAGCGGTCAAGAGCTTCGGCTTCGGGACAGGGAGCAGCCCCACCAGCTGGTCGTCCTTCTCTGGAGGCTCCACCACACGGGCGCCCCAGGCCCTGCTGGCACAGTTCGGTCTTGTCCACACGCAGGTGGGGGAGGGGGACAGAACCCCCCGCAGGAGGGTGCCCACCATCCCGGGGCAGCCACTCCAGCCCCCACCACCAGCAGCCCCAGGACAAGCCCCTCTCTCAAGAGCCGCAGTGATGAGTGGCCCCCACAGTGCTCCCGGCCAGGCTTTCACACCACGTCCCTGGGCCACTGGGTGGGGGGCAGTGGTCAGAGCCTTGGTTGAGCAGCGTCCCAAAGACGTGGATGTGGGGAAACCTCAGGAGCCAAGACTGAGCCACCCTGGCTGCAGCCACCGGCCGTGGGGTACAAGCTGCCCTGGAGGCCGTGGGGAAGCTGAGCTGGGGGACACCCGGGAGCCCCAAGCCCTCTGGCTGTACTCTCTTCTCCCTGCCCGGGGGCTGTTGACAGATCCCCATGAGGCTGGAGTGCCGCCTCCTTCCGAAAGCTGCTGGACAGGGCTCCCCTCTGCATCCTTCTCGTGCACTCCAGGTTCAGGACGGGCCCAGAAGATCCGGCCGTAGCTTCAGGGAATGGCGGGGGTGCGGATGGGCAGGTGGGGCTGGGGGAACTTACTTCTCTGCCTCCTGCTCTGAGGGCCGGTGTTTGACGTGGACCTTGATAGGGAAAGTCACAGGTGTGGGCTCAGCCACAGTCCACACGGATGGAGGACACCTAGGGAGAGGCTGCTCCGAGGCCCACCTGGGGCTGCAGGGGTGGGGACAGGGCCAGCTCGGCACAGCCCGAGCGTCTCTAGTGGGTGTACCACTCTCGGGTGTCGGGACTGCAAGCCGGGAGTGAGGCTGCTGGCCTGTGTGCAGATGACCAGCTGGCCTGGAATTCTGGCCGGGCCTGGGGCGGCACAGGACTGGGATGTAACCTGGCACGATATCCCCGACCTAGTACTCCCCACCCCAGCTGTCAGCGCACTGGCTGGTTTCTGAGGTGACTGGTTGGGGCTGTGTCTCCTCCCTGGCAGGTGCCTAGAGAAGGCGGTCAGCTGCTCCGAGCCCAGCTAACCTTAGTTGTCAGTTCTCTAAGCCCAGCCACCCTCAGTGGGGCAAAGGACAAACGGGAGAGCAAAGCAGGTGACCCCAGTGGAGGACCAGTGACCCTGGGGAAAACCAGTGATCTCAGCGGAGGACCAGTGACCCTGGGGAGGACCAGTGATCTCAGCGGAGGACCAGTGACCCTGGGGAGGACCAGTGATCTCAGCGG